TGTGCCACTGCATTCCAACTGGGGTGACAGAGTGAGACTCCTACTCAAATAAATAAATAAATAGATGCTTTTTAAAAAGAAAATATTAGCAAACCAAAATGATATACACATGATATACACACCAACACACACACACACACACACACACACGACTACACTGGGTTTTACATATGAAAATCAGCCAGTGTAATTCACCATAATAACATTATAAAGGAGAATAATCACATGATTCTATTGTTAAATGGAAACAATTCTTTAGTCAAATTCAATATATATCTATGGTGTTTAAAAAAGAAAGGAACTTTTTTAACCTGATAAAAGCTATGTACAAAATTGAATCAGAAAACACATACTTAGAGATGAAATGTTTGTGTCTCTTTCTGAAACTGGTAACAAGACAAAGATGCCTGCCATCACCATTTCTATTCAGCTTTTTAATCAAGGTCTTAACCAGGGTGAAATCAACTCAGAGATTATTTTTCTAGCTTATTTTGATTACTAATTTGCATCTTTTATCTTTCCACTAAAAACACTGATTCCTAATCATAATACATTTATTTGTTTTATTGTAAAGTATACATTAAAATAGTTTCAGACTATCAATTTCAATTTAAAAATACTATTAGAAATAAAACTACTGAGAAAATGTCCGGAGTTTTTTTTGTTTTGTTTTGCTTTATTTCTGTTCTTTACCTTAAAATAAAACACATCAGAGGCATACTGAGTGTTCAAAAGTTACTTGAGAAAATTATTTTTCTCTGTGTATTTACACTGTCATTTTCATATACGGCTAGAGCTTTTGTTGCCATTTGTATTCAATTTTAGGTTTTACTGTTTTAAAAGAGTAAGCCTATTTTTTAATATTAAAATACTCACATGGTTCACCATCAAAATTGCATAAACAGATCCCTCCCTTTCTCCTCAATTCTGTTTTCTTCTCTTGCTTTCGGTAGCCATTTTTTCAAAGTTATCTTTCTAGGATTTCTTTTTTGCAAAAATAATCGAATTTTATCTATCATCTATCTGCTTGTCTTCTTATTTTCTTAATTCCTCTTCTTTCTTACACAAAAGGTAACACACAGTCCTATTCTCCATCTTGCTTGTTTCACTTAACAGCATGTAAAAAATTAGCTTTTTAAGCTGAATTTCCATTCTCAGTCCCATCTCATCTTTTGAATGAGTAAAAATAAACATAGACTTTTTACCTTTAAGATCTTTAATCTTCTCAAGTTGAAAGTCTATTTTCACAGTAGAACACAGAAAACACAATATTTATTGTCAAATATATGTGCTTTTTTAAACATCTGGAATGTTGGTTCATATTATATGTGAGGTTCATTTCCCCACCTAACGCTTTCCATTGCATTCTTCAGGAAGACCTTTCACTCACAGGCTGACTCTCTAGGATCAGTTCTCAACTTGTGCTGACTTTTTGTTTGTCTATTCCCTGAACACATAGGAGAGTTTTTCACCATTTTCTTCCATATTACTGATTGATTTTTCTACATTGTCTGACAGTGATGACTCAAATACAGATATTTGGTAGCTGTGATCTGAATCTGCCATCTATCCTCATTTCTGTTTTCTCATTTTGAAAATTACCTCTTAAAAATAAAAAAAAGATCATATAAGTTTTCTCACTTTTATTTGTACTGTTCAATTTAAAAGAAAGTGAAGTTCTTCTTGGTGGGTATAATCTCACAGGCAACTGACTCTTCTTTAAACAGAAAGAGTTTCTATACACCTCTTGTCCCTTTGAAAAATCAAATCACAGACCAAAAAAGGAAGATTGTGAGTATAAAATTCGAATATTTCCTGATATTTCCTCCCACTTTTTGAGTTAGGGCGTTTTCATGGTGCCTCCTTTTACTTAGAAACAGAACTCCTCACAAGCAGGGCACTGCTCTCCTTTGGACTTGCCCCTACAAAACTGAATCATTGAAATGGAGTCTTGTCTGTTTCTGGGTCCCGAGATCTGATCTGCTCAGAGTAACGGGCCCAATGAGAGAGGTCCTGCAGATGGATGAGTTATTTGGCTCAACCACGTAATAGTGGCCCAAACTTGTGCCTCAATCTCTCTCATCTAAAAAATTGAGATAAAAATAATATTTACCCTGTGGTGTTTATTTTTTAAACAGACTTTATTTTCCAGAGAAATTTTAAATTCACAGCAAAATTAAGCAGAAAGAGTTTCTATGTATCTTCTGTTCCCTTGAAAAAAATCAATTATTTTTTTTCATGGATCATGCCTTTGGTGTTGTCTTTAAAAAGTCATTACCAAGGCAAGGTGTGATGGCTCAAGTCTGTAATCCCAGCACTTTGGGAGGTCGAGGCGAGAGGGTTGCCTGAACTCAAGAGTTCAAGACGAGCCTGGGAACTTGGTGAGACCTCACCTCTACAATCAAAAAATCAAAAAATTAGCTGGGCGTGGTGGTGCATGCCTATAGTTCCAGCTCCTTGGAAGGCTGAGGTGGAAGGATTGCCTGAGCCCAGCCGGTAGAGGCTGCAGAGGCCGAGAGCATGCCACTGCACTCCAGCCTGGGCGGCAGAGTGAGATACCAACTCAAAAATATATATATAGATTTTCTCCTACATTATCTTCTAGGAGTAGTATAGTTTGTAGTTTACATTTGGATCTATGATCCATTTTGAGTTAATTTCAGTAAAAGGTATAAGGTCTCTGTCTAGGTTCATTTTTTTGCATGGGAACACCCAGTTGTTCCAGCATCATTTGTTAAAAAGATTATTTTCTCCATTGGATTGCTTATGCTCCTTTATCAAAAATCAGTTGACTATTTATGTTGGTCTATTTCTGGGCTCTCTATTCTATTCTATTTGTTCATATGTCTGTTCTTTCATTAATACCACAATGGCTCAAATACTATAGCTTTTTAGTAAATCTTGAAGTCAGGTAGTGTCAGTCCTCCAACTTTGTCCTCCCTTAATATTGTGTTGTCTATTATGTGTCTTTTGCCTCTCAATATAAACTTTAGAATCAGTTTGTTAATATTCATAAAAGAACTTGCTAGAATTTTTATTGGGATCTGTATATAGAATCGATAGATCAACATGGCGTTATTTTGAGACCCCAAGAAGATACAGATAAAGTTCTAAAAACAATGCTTAGACTACATTAGAGATTTAATAAATGCCATGTGTTATTTCTGGCTGTTAACTCCTTCCATGGGAAGCAGAATTTAGGAATTAAAAAGTCTTGTGTCAGGCCAGTAAAGTCCAGTGCAAGACCATTACTGATGCCATCACCATAGTCTTTACAGAATGTAAGAAGGCTGACCTTTACTCTTATTTTCCACGGGGAGATAATCAGAAACAATTTCCGCAGCATATCCATTCATCTTATTTTCTAATCTAGTGTCTTCAGACCACAGAATTATAAATAGTAGACATTAATAGTAGAGTCCACTGTATTGTTGATTTTTTTCTCTCCTATTTTCCAGAGCTCATGTGGGTATTTCTGAAAGCATCTTTTTGTTAACTATTTGCATGAGAGGTTAGGAGAGAGGATTCCATGCACCTATGCTGCTGATGCTTTCTTGAACATTTAGACTCTCTTCATGATGCTTTTGCCTCTTGCTCCAAGATTTCCTGTGGTAGTTTATGTAACAATAAATCAAAACTCCAAACATGGCCGGGCTCGGTGGCTCAGCCTGTAATCTCGCGCCTTTGGGAGGCTGAGGTGAGTGGATTGCTGAGCCCGCGGGTTCGAGACCCACCTGGGCAGCAAGACCTCATATCTACAATAAATCAAAAAATCAGCCGAGCGTGGTAGCGCATGCCTGTAATTCCAGCTACTTGGAAGGCTGAGGCGGAAGGATCGCCGGAGCCCAGCAGGTCGAGGCTGCGGTGGCCGGGAGCGGCCACTACACTCCAGTCTGGGCGACAGAGTGAGACTCCAACTCAAAAAAAAAACAAACAAAAACTCCAAACATTACAGACAACTAATGCCAGTAGCATTACACTTTCAATTAATTCAAAGTGCTCCACATTTTATCTCCTTGGCTAATGTGCTCTCCTTTCAGCATTTTCACTGTAGAACACAAAACTGCTGACAATTTCACTTGATCCATGAAAACACTTATTTACCTTTTATTAACTCTTCTACGTGCATTAAGACATTTCATTTTCTTAATCAATAAATATCTCATAAATCATGTATAAAGCTTTAACCTGGAAACTGAGTCACACATTTATCCATCTTTCAAAGTATGTTGATTTACCATTTCACTGGAATCCACGACATTCTCCAAACAGCTACCATTCGATATGGTGTAGCAGCTTCACTTAACATCTCCTCAGATTTTGAGCCTTCAAAACTTGACCCTCAAATGTTTGTGTGTTTTTATTTAGTTTCACAACAAATCTCACCAGAGCTACTGCATATACCTTTGACAGAACAACTGCCATTCTTTCAAATGCCATTTGCATTTAGAAAGGCTAAATAAACGGCAAGGGGAAATAAAGGAGAGGTAACCGTTGTGAGCTGCCCCTTCCTGTCTTACATTTGACCTCAATGCTAATTTTGGCACGAGAATGAGAAGTACAAATCAACTTTCCTTTTCTGACAGTAGATGTCAAAGGAAATGGTGTTGTTTAGCTACACTGTTCATCTCAAAGGTATACTTACCCTTGAAGGGCTTAGACGTGTAACCAGCACGTAATTTCCCAGAACAGCGCTCTGATGTTTAAAAATAAGAGGTTCGGACCTACGGTCCAAAGCGCCGTACGGCAACCCGAATCAGGGTCTCTTCACCCCTCTCCACCTGCCCCAAAGAAAGCTATCTTGAAGTTCCCGCTCGCAGCTCCTGCGCCTTGTATTAGCCGAGGGTCAGTTTGGGGAACGCCCAGATGGTCAACAGGTGCGCAACCGGCTGACGCATCGGCTCTCGTGGCCAAAGGGTGGCGCTGTGCATCGTGGACCGCCGGGACCACCCCACTCCCCGCACGTCCCCAGGCTGCACCTTCTCCCCCTGGGCGGCAGAGGACGCTCGGGAACGCGCAGGAGCTCCGCGAGGGGGCGGGGCCGGGCGCGGGGCGGGGCCGGGCCGGGCTCCCGGGAGCCCACTCGCCGCAGTCGGAGCGTTGCGTGTGGGAGGGCGGGCGTCCGGGGTCCTCCGACCGGCACGAGGCAGCCGGAGCCGAGCCCGTTACCCGCCGGCTCCTCGCAGCGAGCCGGAGGCCGGGAAGGAAGCGCGCCCGCACACCATGATCCCCCTGGAGAAGCCGGACAGCGGCGGCTCCTCCCCGGCCGCCGCCTCAGCCTCGGGCCCGGCTGGCCGGGGTCTGAGCGCGCCGCGCCGGCCGCCGCCGCCGC